CGTCCTGTCATGGCTATGGAGGCCGTTTGTGAGCTCTTTGCCTGTCCTGTCACGGCCAAGGAGGCCGAGTATGAACTTTTCGCCTGTTCACTTGTGGATAAAAAGACTAATTATGAAGCTGTGTGCCCTTTTGTCCCACCCAACCTCCCTCTCCCTCCTCCTCTGCCTGTCATGCTCTTCGTCCTGTCTCCGCTGTTCTCTGTCTGTCCCTCAGGTCATCCATCAGGGGTGGCTAGCGGTCAGGATTTGCTTCGGGACATACAGCCTCTAGCTGCACCAGGGTTGGAGGATCCCAGATCTCTGGTTCCGACCTTCGAGGCCTGGACTCCACTTCGGTCCTCCGATCCTTTGATGTCGCCTTGGCTCAAAGCTCCCTTGTCTCCACCGTGGTCCGTCAGTCCACCAGCTCCGCCGGGCTTCCTCGTCCCGTCCGCTCCGCCTTGGTTGTTCGTCGACCTGCCCTCGCCTCAGGACTACACTCCTCCGGCTTTGCCTCGTCCCTCTGTCTCTCCGGCTCCGTTGGGCTCCTCTCTCCCTCCGGCTCCGCCTTGGTTCTCGGTCGCTCCGACTCCACCGTGGCCTTCCAGATCCTCGCCTGCGCCTCGGTCGCCAGAGCCGTCGGCTCCATCACAGCCCTCAGAACACTCAGTGTCACCCCGGCTCTACGGCGCTCCGCCTCTGCCTTGGGCTCCCCTTTCCTCGGTTCCATCTCCGTCGGTTGGAACTCTAGTCTCTCCATCATGGTTCCTCCCGCCGTGGACTCCACCGTGGACTATGAATTGGAAAGTCTGGTTTGAGCGTCTGGAAGCCGCTCTTAGGCGGGGGGCACTGTCACGATGTCAGTCAGTTCTCACCATGGACTACATTTCCCACAAGCCCCGCACCTGGAACTAATTAATTACACACACACCTGTTGTCCATCAGGAGCACTATAAATGTTGCTCACACACACACACACTCAGTGCGCAGTATTGATTGAAGTTTATGATTGTCTGTCTAGTTGCGACTGCGCCGTACAGAGCATTTCCTGAGCCTTAGTTTAAGTCTAGTCTGTTCCTGTGTTTACCTTTTGCCTGTGTTCGACTTCGCTGTCACAATAAAGCTGCACTTGGATCCGACCCTGCCTTCTCGTATCCTTCCCTCCGTAACAGAATCCACTTATATTATAACATCTTTATATTTAATTTATACATACTTGTTGTTAAGTTTAAAGAAAGAAGTTCATTTGCAAATACATGCAAATCATCTGGAGGTTACTCTATCCATGTTATCCAAATATAGTACTAGTTTCACCATTTTCTTAGCTTTTCTTCTACCAATATTATATTATAGTTTGCGCTCGACCTGGTCTACCACTCTAAATCGGATGTGCTCGCTGAAGAGTGGCACTCAGAGAGGTAACATCAGGATGAGTGAATCATGTGGTCCTCCACACCCTTGAGTCCTTACCCTCCCCAACCATCTTCTCCATACACTACTACTCAAGCTTATTTTTAAGCGCTCCCAAACACAGAGAGGGGCTGTTTCACAGCTTGTAGGAGCAAGTGATTGAGTGGACTGGGACAGAAAGTTGATTTGCATTCATTTGCAAGAAAAGGAAGCAGGTGACGTGAGGTAAATGGACAGACAGATAGATGATTTACTGAGCGCGAGGATGCGCGCACTGACAGATTCAAGGCGTAATTACTGTGTGTGAGACTTTAAAGAGGCGCGCGCTCGTGTTGCTTTTACGTCGATGAGCTGTAAATGTAAAGCTTGTGTGCATGTGTGAGTCCTGGCGGCGCAGTCAATATCGCTCTCTTATTGAAAACAAACACAAGCTGAGACGGAACTTGCAGAACTTTTTGCCCCACTAAAGTAGGACATAATGCCTGTTCGACGGGGACACGTTGCGCCTCAGAACACCTTCCTGGACACCATCATTCGGAAATTCGACGGTCAAAGTAAGTGAATGATATTTGTTTGCTTGCTTGGTTCGTTAAATGAACACTGAATAAGTTGTTAAGATGTTTATTATGATGGTGATGATGATTATTGTTCACAATTTTAATAATTCCATTATCGGTATTCGTTTTTTATACTTTTATGATGATGATGATTATTAATAAATGTTTTTGTATCATTTGAATATGTGATAACTGGGAGAAACTGTCCATTAGTAGTCACTATAAAATTCACAGCATCAATATAGGAGATGGACATTATTTTATTTTTGTCATCTAAATAAACAGAATTTTGATGTAAATGTATTCACAACACACACACACACACACACACACACACACACACACATGAAATTAATGTGTGAAGTATGTGAGTTTTTTTTCTGTGAAAAGTGTCTTAACAACTGTGACTTTAATAATTACTTTTAATTTTAATAATTTATTTAATTTTATTGCATATTACTGTAAGTTTATCTTTCTTTTAACTGAGGTAAAAAAAATACATTAATTTCATTCACAATGGCAGCTTGTTTTTTGGTTCTACATGAATGTGATTTATGAATGTCTTGCATCTCTTGCTTTACCTCAACAGATCGCAAATTCATTATCGCCAATGCTCGAGTTGAAAACTGCGCCATTATTTTCTGCAATGATGGTTTTTGTGGCATGTGCGGCTACACACGTGCAGAGGTCATGCAGAAGCCGTGTACCTGCAGTTTTCTGTATGGACCGCATACTGGACGACCAGCGGTGGCCCAGATGGCCAAAGCCTTACTGGGCTCTGAAGAAAGGAAAGTGGAGATCTCCCTATATAGGAAAGATGGTAAGTTTCTGGGGGTGTTTCTTATATTTGTATATTTAAACATTCATTTTGTAGGTGCCATTACAGCGACACTTAAAAAAAAAGCTGACCTAGAAGCATAACATGACCACAAGCAATTTCATGCACTTGCATTCATTTGATAAATGTTTGTCAGTGACTTGCAACCTTGCACTCATTGTATTTCTTTGGACACACTAATACTTACTCCCTAAACATTATGTTATTCCTTTTCTGCTGAATCCTTCTGTGATATTTGATGTGTCCCTTGATGATTGATCTTGGAGTTTAGCCTCTCTTGTGGCAGTCTCTCTTACCCATGCCATCCTTTATTATGGATACTCAATTGAAAGATGAGGATTACAGTACAAGGGCTATTCTAATTATTTATATTTCTGTCCTCTCCTATTTAAAGATAGCATTTCTGGATGATGTATTGATTTCCAGGACAGCTGGGAGTTTGAGAATAGGAACAATAGTCATAGAAGACATAATTGCAAAGGACAATTTCTCACAATCCAGATCAGTTCCCAGTGCTATATGCTAGTAATCCAAATGGTTGCATAAGGGTGTCATAACATTGTGTCCTCTAGTGGTGCTCAGGACAGAGGACAATGCATACAGTGCGGATTTGAGTCTACGATACTAACAAGTCAGCAACTTATCAACATCCATGAGCAACCAGAAATGCTCCTGTATGACTATTTTAAAGGGAAGAATATGCTAACATGTTAACAGAGCGGATAAACATACACATAATCCATCCTAGGGTTTAGGCAGCATGTCCGAGCACAGGGTATTTTTCCACTGATCTGGATGGTAGGAATACTTCTCAGTGTGACCCTTTGTAACCTAACCACCCTAAATTTCTCAGGTGTGCTCAGGCTACATTTAGTCATTCCAAAATATGACTTCCTTACGCTGTCGTCTGCATTTCAATACAGTATGTCATTGGTAACAATAAAGTTTAGGATATATATGTGTACAATCATGGTTATTTATTGACTTATGTGGTCTGTGGGTATTGTATCATTGCAACCTACAAGTCAAATCCATCACCTTAGGCCCATCAGGATTGTCATTGGACGGCATGTTCAGTATGTGTATCAGAATACAATAGCAATATAAATATAAGCTATTGTTGGTGTTCAGATGACATGTTTGAAAGTTTAAGCATGTTTTATGAAGGAGGTGTAAAATGCATTATGTGAAATCCTTGTACATTTCCAGTACAGACGAGGTTGTTGACGGTTACCAGAGCTTTATTGTAAAAGCTTTTGTTTTCTGGATTTGTGCTGAGGCTTATGGACGTATTGACAGCATCTAAAATGTAAAAGTATTAATGTATGCTGCAGAAGCTAAAAACGTTTAATTTATATCATAAATATATTAATGTAGTTACATTTTACTGTTTTGAGACCCTAAACCTACCTTTTTAAAAAACGTAATGGGCAGATAAGTGCAGAATAAAGCATTTTAGTTAAAATATAATACTATAATGATTTTTTTTCTAAATTAAATTAAGCTCTTTTTCTCACACAGAGCTAACTGACTTTATAATTGACATGTGCAGACCTGAAGACCTGGAATACAATCCGGTAGTATAATGAATTGATTTTTTTAGGGTGCATATGTCAATTACTTTGTAGCCACAGCAAATAAAATAAAAATAAAATGATTAAGTAATGATTAAATGTTGGCAGAATTGTCATTTAATATTTTAAAATTTCGCTTTTGACTCCGTCTAAAAGCGTTGAATGCAGCAACAGAAATTGCACAGACCAGAATAAAATTATAATGTTCAAACAGATAAATATGTTAAATGTGATGGCACGCTAAAGCATATTTAATTGATTTCATAGATTTAAACACAATGAAATCAATCTATTATTACCACAAATTAAATCTTCAATGGACTGAAATTTGTAGATTTGTAAACATTTGTACGTCTCTAAAGTTGTTCATACATAAAATATTTACATTTTATGAAAATGTAGTTCGATGTCTATGCAAATGTACAAAAATGTGGGTCAGTAGCACAGTTTACATATAAATACATATGATTACTGATGAAATCATGTTACATTTGCCAGTGTGTTTTTGGGCTTCTCCTATTTGTCAGTGGGATGTATACTCATACAAATACAATCGTAAATTTAATTTCTAATTGACCTCAAATATTTACTCCAAAAGATGTTTCATGCAAATAATACACAAAGAAAAAATAGAACAGCCTTCATCATTCAACAACATTCAGTGTAAATTATATTGGAAGAGATGTGCTTTCTTGTGTATCAATCCCATAAGAACCCTAAAAATGATTGAGAATTAATAAGTAGCAGGACTTTGCTTTGTGTGTGCTTTGACGATGTGTTATGAATATGTAGATGGCTATATAGTCCAGTGGGTCATTTATTACTGAAAACTAATGTGAGGCAATGAAGGTGTCATGGTCAGTAATAACGTCCTGCAGTCTGGAAAGGACTACTGGAAGTTTCTGCACAAATTACCTGCTGGAAGGACACACAAAAAGCTCCTCTGAGGGAACTTTGAAGGATAATGATGCTTCAGCGAAATTCTGCAATTCACAGGAAGGCCATGGGGTGTATTCAAAACCTTCTAGGGATGTACAAAAATCTATTTCTGATTAGAAAACTAGTATAATCAGCATAAATAATTTTGTTTTATGAACCTAGAGAAATAGTACCTTCTCATTATGTTACCCAGTGCACCAATGCCCGTTTTCCTGTAAAGGCGAAGATCCTTGCTTTTTAAGAGAGTCCTTGGGAAGGACTTTGAAAGCAAAAGCGTGGAACTAATGGTGGTTGCACCAGTAATCCTCCAACAAAAGAGCAATTCCAATTAGTGAATGTCCAACCCTCTTTAAAGCCTGTTGGTCCTCTGAGGTTTATCTATGAGGAAATGATTGTGAATTGTATAAAGCATAGCAGATGATCACTTAATGATGACCCATGAGGCAGATTATGCTCTTGCAGTAAATGATCTGGGGATGACTTATAATAGGAACTCCCCATTTCAAAACTTGCTACATTTTTTTTCTTTACCTTAATGAGATAAAATAGAGCCTCATTAGTTTGAGCTTTATATTTGATGAAAATAATGGCATTGTTCTTTTCTTTTTAAGGAATACTTCACCCAAACTGAAAATTCTGTCATTTGTTGCTTGTCTTCATGCAACAATAGTTATTTATAGTGGAATAACCAAGCTGCTCTTTCCCATAATAAAACCTGTTCCTAACATAATCTATTGTATGACTTCAGAAAATTCTGAAATACTTTTCATGATGCTTTTTGTCGTTTTTGGAAATTGACAGTTTATGAACCCTATTTATTTTCATTAAAGGAATAGTTCGCCGAAAAAATGAAAACTTGCTGATAATACACTTAAACTCACCTACATCTGGATGGCCTGAGGGTGTTTCTTCATCAGCACAGATTTGGAGAAATTTAGCATTACTTTGCTTGCTCACCAATGGATCATCTGCAGTGAATAGGTGCCAAACAACTGATAAAAACATGACAAGTAACCCACTCCATTAATTAAAATTGCAGTTGTTCAAGTAGTGTCTTGTAAAAAGAAATGTTGTGTTTTTATGAAACAAAGTTTATAACTTCGAACAGTTTATTCCAGCTAAAATATGAGTCCATACTATTGCTTTTTAACAAGTCATCTCGTCTGAATCAGGAGAGAAATATGCACAAATCAAGCACCATCTACAAGTGAACACAGACCAAAACGCTTATAAACAAAATGTTGGTGGATTTTGATATGAGCAGACAACAGGGGATGTTTGCATTAGAGGAAGCATTATTATGGATTAGGGACTCGTATTTTGCCCAGAAGCGAATGTTTAAAGTTAAAACGCCTTATTGTTTCATACAAACACAGCTTTTTACTTCACAAAATATTAACTAATGGACTGGAGTCGTGTGGATTGTGATTGTGATGTTTTTATCAGCTCTTTGGACTCTCATTCTAACGACACCCATTCACTGCAGAGGATCCATAGGTGAGCAAGTGATGTAATGCAAAATTTCTCCAAATCTGTTCTGTCTTTGGATGACATGAGGGTGAGTACATTTTCAGCAAATTTTCATTTTTGGGTGAACTGTTCCTTTAAAAAGGTAAAATAAAGAATCTAAATATTGTAACATGAACAGTTTAAAGACAACAGCTGTCACTTTAAAGGGGTCATATGATTATTTTGTGTATTTGGTGTAATGAAATGTGTTTATGCGGTTTAAGGTTCAAAAAGCACATAATTTTCCACATACTGTACATTATTGTTTCTCCTCTATGCCCCGCCTTTCTGAAACGCGTCGATTTTTACAAAGCTCATCGGTCTGAAAAGCGAGGTGTGCTGTGATTGGCCAGCTATCCAGTGCGTTGTGATTGGCCATATACTTCAAGTGTGTGATGGAAATGTTACGCCCCTTACCATACTGTTTGTTAGTGGGGACATAATTACGGATTATAATGACTTATACTGTCTTTTTACGCGTTGCGTTGCATCACGCCGCGTAAACATAAAACCATGTCTGCATTTGTGATCGGAGAAATGACAAACAACAAGCCCTACTCTACACTGCCCAAAAAACTCGCTTTAAATATATAAAATATAAAAACTCTTTAAATATAAAAAACATACTTACAGTCTTTGAGTCAGAACAGCCGGCATTGTAGTCTACTCTGCCAGGATCAGGAAACAGTCCTCCACAAAATGCGCTGCACACATCTGAATATTTGGGTTGAACTGTTCTGGAACAGTGTTGTAAATACAACTTAACCACTGATTTCTAGTCGTGTCCTCTTTTGGAAG